CGTAAACTTACAGAAATCTTGTGTGTTTTTTAGTGCCAACATTCATGCTGCAATTTCAGAGGAGTTGGGAAATATTCTTGGGGTTCCGGTTGTATCGGATCCTGGGACTTACTTGGGAGTTCTTGCTATTTGGGGTCGATCCAAGAGTCGTGGCCTTGCTTATGTGAAAGGTAGAATGTTTGGAAAAATCCAATGATGGAAGCAGAGCACTTTATCCCAAGCTGGCAAAGAGGTTATGATAAAATATGTGGCCCAAGCCATACCTGCTTACCCAATGAATTTATTTAAATTTGCAGATGCAGTCTGTAATGAATTGGACTCCATGATTATGGGGTTCTGATGGGAGCAGAAACATGGTGAAAAAAAAAAATCATTGGGTGTCTAAATGCAAATTAGGCCACCCAAAGAATATTGGAGGTTTGGGTTTCAGAAGTTGCAAAAGTTTTAATGATGCTCTCCTTGCTAAGCAATGTTGGAGGCTGATTGTGGAACCAAATTCGATATGGCCTCTGTTCTCAAGGCCAAGTACTAACATTGCTATTTTCTAGACGCCAAACGGGGAAGTCGTGCTTCGTGGGCTTGGACTAGTTTACTCGTGGGTATAGATGTTATCATGCAAAGGGCTAAGTGGCAGATTTCTGATGGGCGTGAGGTGCGGTTTTGGATTAATCGTTAGCTGATAAGCTCATATTTATATATATTTTACATCATATTCACTTATTTTTTCTTAGTTAGTTCCTTATATTTTTGAGCTATTTACTTTGTTTTTGTGTTTTGTAGGATTTGTCAAGCAAAGAAAAGAAAAATAGCACAAGTGTGATTTTAAGTAACAAATTCGTCAAAACTGCGTGTGTAGGTCAGCTGACTTTGGAAGCAATTTGCGAACAGCTCAAAATGAATTAGAGAATGAGCCTTATATTCTTGGAAAGCTACGGATGTCTATTTTCTGGAGCATTTCACAGATTGCTAATATCATTTTTCTAGAAGACGTTATGGCCGTTTTAACACTAAAACGTTCCTAAGAGGCTGAGCAGTTTGTAACTGACAAGAAAGCATTGAAAGCAATAAATCCAATAAATCTAGCAGCCAAAACTGATGCAGCAAAGAACAAGCCAGCTGACACCTATTCAAATATAAGAGGAAATGAAATTAAAGATGAGGATTAAATGGGAGTAATTGGCATAAAGGTTGCCCAAAGAGTTACAATTGTTTTACCAATTTCTCTCACTTATTGTCAACACTAAATGGCTGTTAGTGGGGTGAGTTAAGGAGAAGAAATAAGGTAGCAAGCAAGAAGAAAAAGGTTGCAGGTTGCGGCGGCAAAGATAGAGAAAAAAAGATAGAAAAAAAGGAAAGGAAGGAAAAAAGGCAAGGCTGCTGCGTTGGGGAAGGAATGAAAGGAATGAGGAAATCTTGGCATTCTCTTCTTTCGGTTTTATCTTCTCAAACTCATGTTTTTCTTTTGGTTTTATTTGAGAATTATGTGTAACTAAATTTTTAGAAGTTATGGGCTGTTTTGAAGCCTCGAATATGATTGCAAGTTTGTTATGACATTTCGTTTGAATTACTTTTATGAATGGATGAAAATTGGTTCACTACTTGTCTTATTGATGAATTCTTTATTTGTTTTCTATGGATGCATACGTAGTAAGCATATCTAGGATTCTAACGCTATGAATATGTGTGTGCCTGCCCTGTCGAATGAGGACCTACATATGTTCTAGAGTAGTACTTGTTAATTGCGATTAACATGTGAACCAATTTCTAGGATAAGTAAGACAACGCCAGTACTTACGATGCCTTGTGATAACTCAAACTCTTTTCGTTCTTAATGATTTCTACTTGTTAAATCTATGAACACGTCATTCTAGATTGCATGCTAGGGACTAAGTTAAGTTGAAAATGTCATTCTCTTAACATACTACGTAACAAAGAGTACTAAGTTGAGTTCTAACATTGAGCGAACTTGAGCATCTTCATCTGGAAATAAAAGGAATTTGAATAAAACATAACATGTTTGCATGATTATTTGGTGGTGGATAACAATAACCCTAACTCGTTTTTCTTAATTTGTGAACTATTTAAAATTTGCTTATGTCATGTTTTTGTTCGATTTAATTTTAATATAAAATCAACTCCAAAAATCCCAAAACTTTGTATGAGTGTAGCTCTGTCTGTCTAGTGTTTTCATATAAAATTTCGTAGACTTTAGATATGTTTAAGTCAGTCTAATAATTATTTTTCCGTGGCTGGTCAGTAGGGACAGTAGCCCAGTTTTTGTGACATTTTAAGTAGTTAGATAAAACAATCTTCTGCGGAAAATACCCTTATTTTCATATGCTACAATTGACAAATCTTAATGTTAATAAGGAAAATAAATAAGACATTTGTGTGCTACTTTGTGGTGTGCACTTAATCCTATCATTAGCTCATCTCCCTCCCTTTGGGCCATCATATTCCGAGGGGACCGGTGCATGTTACACTAGATACTCAGGTTCAAACCTTTCTGTGCCCAATCACTAGATCGTGGGACTTGAACTCTCTCCTCCCATTCCTCTTCACAAAGGAATTGGATGATGTCACAGGCTCTGATGTGGGTATTGGTTCTGGATTGGATCGTTTCATCTGGCATGAGACGAAGACTGGTGTATACACGGTGAAATCTGGGTACCTCTCGTCCATCCACGTCCTGCACCACTCCTAAGTGTGTGTGGAAAATTATTTGGAAGCTTCAAACCCCGGCAAAAATCAGGTTTTTTCTATGGAAGACTTTCCACCGCTCTCTTGCCACGATGGATGACTTGTTCATTCGTCAATCTACCCCTAACCCGATGTGCCCGATCTGCCTTTTCCAAGAAGAGTCAATTGTGCACCTTCTTTTACTTTGCCCATGGGTTGAAAAATCTGGTTTGGATGGATGTTGAATTATAAGATTAACAGAAGTGAGGTCTCAAGTTGGGTGGATTGGTTTGATCAAGTGGCGTTCATTCGGTTGGGTGCTAATGGGGACTGGTTGCACGTGCTCTTTTATATTGCCTTCACTTGTTGGCACATATGGAAGTCTCGCTGCAATTTTGTGTTTAATCAGAGACTAATTAACCCTACCCAAGTGGTTTGTGCTATTAATAACTCGACGGGAGCCTTTACTGCTGCTACCCGGCAACTGCATCATCTCTCGTCTCTTATCCCTCTTGTGGATGTTAGTCCATCTAGGTGGTCCCCCCTTCCACGATGTACAAGAAAATCAATGTTAATGCTAATTGGTCGAAGCAGACACGTTCGGCTTTGTGGGAATTATGGTAAGGGATGATGGTGGCTCTTTTATGGCAGCGGTCAGGTATGCTTTTCGATCCCCTTGTGTTGGTGCTGCTGAGGCAATGGCTATCCTCAAGGGGTGTGAATTTGGTCTGTCGCTGAGGCTCAAGAAGGTGGTTGTGGAATCTGACTCGACGGAGTTTATCTCGTCCCTGGTGGACTCGCAAGATAATGGCAAATGGGAAGCTTTCCCTTACTTAGTAAAAGCTAAAAATCTAGGGGATTCTTTCCAAAATTGTCGCTGGTCTTGGATCTTAAAACTAGCCAACATGGCGGATGATGCTTTGGCGTTGCAAAGTTGCTCGGAGATGTGCGATGTTTTTTGGGTCAACAGACCCCCATCTTCGCTTGTTCACATCCTTCACAACGACGGGATACCTTGCCCTGCCGGGGGGCTTTGGAGAGGGTGACGCAATAACTAGGTTACTGCGTCTCCATTGTAACTATCTCCTTTGCCCTATGTCTTTTCTTTACTTTTGTTTTGCTTGCCTCCTTGTAGGCTTTCTTGTTTCGTTTGGAATCTTTGCCCGGTTTGAATCTACTGTTTCCAAAATAAATAAAATAAAAGGAGAATGGAATGAAAAGTAGGCCTAGGAGTAGTTCTTCTTCCTGGGAACAAATTATTACACACGTATCTAGGTTGTTGCTGATGATGCTCTCTCTCTCTCTTGTTGACATTTGGAGGGGCTGAGGGAACAAGGATTTGTTTAGTTTAAAGTAATGTTAGAGAAATTAAATTTGTAAACAAAATTTGCAAATTAAATGATGTGTTACTAATAAGAAATTAGCACATTTATAAATGTTTAAGTAATAATCCAATCATCAATTTTGATGCCATTTAGTTTACAAAATTTTGTCTACAATTTTAGTCTCCCTAGTATTACTCTTTAGTTTATGGTGGAATCTAACGATGTGGGGATTGAAAATAATGATATAGTTGAGCATTGTTAGACGAGGAATGATAGCTAAATTTCATTCTTTAGTTTACTCATATGAGCCCAGGGAGGCCAAGGGTTTGCTTATGGGTGGGAAATTTACATGAATTGGAACACACTATCCTAACCAACTAGTGTAACTCATATAAGTCCCGGGAAGCCAAGAGATTGCTTCTGAGTGGGTTTTTGTTTTTGGTAAAGAAAGAAAAAAAAAGTAGTTTAGATTAGAACAAGCGAGTTGAATCTGGTAGGAGAAAAAAAAAGATTAGCTTTTGAAAATAAAGGTAAATATAGAAAAATAATAATGAGTTTTTTCAAAAGAAATAAAAATTGTGTTTATGTTAATAGAATTCATGTTACACTTAATAAATGAGAAAGATAAGTGAAAATGCAAATAAGGAAGGTAGCTAGATTCTTCTATTCACACCTCCTGCTTCTGGGTGGGTTTTTGTTTTTGGTAAAGAAAGAAAAAAAAGTAGTTTAGATTAGAACAAGCGAGTTGAATCTGGTAGGAGAGAAAAGATTAGCTTTTGAAAATAAAGGTAAATATAGAAAAATAATAATGAGTTTTTTCAAAATAAATAAAAATTGTGTTTATGTTAATAGAATTCATGTTACACTTAATAAATGAGAAAGATAAGTGAAAAATGCAAATGAGGAAGGTAACTAGATTCTTCTGTTCACACCTCCTCCTCAATTCCACTCTTCACTAATCGCTTAGTAGTAGTTGATGAAAATCAACTTGCGAAATAGGAAATAACTAATAGTCTATATTAATGATATAATGAACAAATTAACGTGATTGTGACTTGAAAACCACCAAGATCAACAACCAACTTTATCATTCACTTAACAATATATGGCCCTCCTATAATATTAATATCAAACAACAAACACTGCTAAAATATTATCCCGAGATTGAAGAAGGTGTCACGGTCCAACAAGATGATCGATGATTTACATGATTGTGCAAGCTGAGGGATTTTCTTCATAATACCCTCTGTTGCCACTGCCGTAACTGTCATACACAGGCCTCCCATAATAACCATCATACTGGATGTACGGGGATGGCCCCCCGCCATAACCACTATGCCACGACCCACATGCACGCCCCTGGTAACAATCCATACAACACGCTTGAACAGGCGGTGGGTACCCTGGCACATAAGGAACCGGCTGCATATAAAGAGGAGAATGCTTCACTAGCTCCATCTGTGGTATAGACTTCTGGACCTCCTTGGGTGTGTCTGCCGGTTTAGATTTGTCGGCCTCTTTGGGTTTTTCTATGCCTTTAGGTTTGTCTGCAAGCTGTGGCTTGGGCTTCTCGGGCTCTTTGATCTCGATGCTTTTGATAACACTCCCACCTTTGTAGCAAATCTTGTCCCTTATCTTTTCAGGACTGCAGCATACCACTTTGATCACCACTTGGTTTTGCTTCTCGTCATATATCTGATCTTGTATTTCTCTTGTTCACAAACACACATTAATTTACTCAGTTTACATTTAATCTAAATTAGTCTTATTTTCCTAAAAAGAACAAACTTTAACTATGGTTTTTCATCAAATAACTATAGACGAATCAAGGAGAAGAGAGACTCACGAGGGAATTTACGAAGAACTTTTTTGACCTTCTTGTAGCATTTGTGACACTGAAGATCCACCTTCAGCACCATAATCGTAACCTGAATTATCCATTTTTAATATTAATAGAAAAAATATGTACATTAACCAAAGATTGACAAGAATGAATCTTCAGAAAATATATAAATATACAGAAGATTGTTGTACAAAAGTGTAGACAAAAAGAAATGGAACATTGCTGCTGGACAATCAGGGTTCTGACTGACTGAGAGGGAAGAACCATGGTGAAGGTATGTGGCAAAATCAGTAACAAAGAGAGAGAGAGAGAGAGAGAGAGAGAGAGAGAGAGAGAGGCGAAAAACAACAAAATAGCACAGAGGAGGGGACATGGGTTCTTATTAGGATATAAATAAAAGAATGGGAACCACAAAAACTTAAACAAGAGCTTAAAGCCTTTTAGTTTTAGCCGTACAAATCCTCATTTGGGTTATCTGCTTATCCTTGGAAGAAGAAAATGAAGAGAACGCAAACTATACCAAATATTACGTACCTTTTCCTTTTCCCCCATTGCAGTGAGTAGTGGAATGAGAACTTCTCAACTAAAATGATTGAATGGGACTACTGCTCTCATGAAACCGACTTTTATAATTATTAGTTATGAGCACGCACCATGTGTGTGAACAATTTCATTTTGTTTTTTGTTTATTAAGAAGTGTGATTAGTTTTTAAAATTTTAAAAAGAGTATGAAAAAATGATGATGGAACAATTTCTCTTAATAAGTGCATATTTTATCTTAATATTACATAATTACTATTTTGCCCTCCTTATGTAAATATTATGTATCAAAAGTGAGGGTAAAATAGGAAAAATAGAGATATGTTTGTCATTTTCTCAAAAGATACAAAATTACTATTTTGCCCTCCTTATGTAAGTATTGTGTATTAAAAGTGAGAGAAAAATTGGAAAAATGTGCAAAAGATACAAAATTACTATTTTGCACTCCATATGTAAGTATTGTGTATGAAAAGTGAGGCCAAAATTGGAAAAAAGGGGGAAAAAGTTGACAACAAGGGTTTTCTTAATATATACTATAGATATATACATATTTCTACAAAAATATATAAAAATAGGAATATAATTCGGTGGAACAAAGCAAAGAGAAAGAGAGAAGGAGAGAGCAATATAGGAAGGTTGATTTCATGCTATATGGTGGACAAAAGTTTCATTGTAACTGTAATACGAGTGGTATACCATGTATAAGTGGTGAGAAATTTTATTTTTTAAGTTATTAATTTTTTTAACACAAGTAGCTCATTATTTTTATAATAACATGTACTGTATCATTCTGTATTCTGAACACGCTGAAAGATCTCTACATGATTGAGGGTTTTCGTTATACGAAGATAGTTTCTAATGATCGCTAAAAATTGCACTTTCTTGCACATGTATGTGCTGGCTTTGATTCACCCACCTCAACTTCCATACTTGCCATGTATGTGCTAATATTATTTTAAGTAAATGAGTCCATGATCAAAATAAAATTACATCCTAAGTTTATTAATTATTTAAGTTCACATAGAGTTTGGTGGAGAGGAGAGCTGCCAATATTATTTCAAGATCGCCAAATTAATGGAGAAAAAACTATATTGTAAGGTCGACAGTTTGGTCAAGTTCACTTATGGATCATGCACCCCCACATGGCACCTGTAAATTCCTCCAGTTGTCCCTAGCTCGGTGCCACCCATCTTTGACTAGCTACTTGAAGTTTGGTTTGCTAATCCAAACCGGTGAAGACACGTCTAGTGATTAGGATAACGACTTGGATGCAACTGATACTTCATCATTTTAGAACCAGGGGTTTCGATTTACCGGCATACGTACATACATGACGCATCACATATATGTGGAATTTGGCGTGGAAAAAATGAATGTAATACCCCTATTACCTGCAATGTACTGGAGAGAGAATGGATGATCAAATTTCAAAAAGCGTCGGCTCCAGACGACAGAAGTGTGGCTACTGCCTAAGAAAACCGCTCCAAGTGTCCCAATTTCATAGAGGTGGGCTGGCTCACACGATAGTGGTTGATCAATCCGATTTGATCTTTTCTTCTTGTTTAAGGGTTTAGCGGTCCATTTATTAAGTGCATCACAGCTCATTCATTTGTACGTATGACTTGATATGTTTCGTGTTGATACAACCGACATGGGAAATGAGGATGAGATTAGTGGACATTAGGTGTGTCGATATTTAAATGTGAAAGTTTTAACGAAAAATTCACGGTATTGTTCATTTTAACGAAAAATCACATTTGTACACTAAAAAATCAAACATGGTACCATGCACTTTACTCTTTATTTTATCTTTATCGTTAAAACTCTTTTCAAACCATTTTCATTGATTTTCCTTTTAAATTAATTACTTGTTTACTTAATTATCTTTTTGGTGCAATGAGGTTTCAATACTAGAAAGTAGTACACTATGTTAGAGTAAATGTAGAAATATAGAAAATCAACTAAAGAATGACTTTGAGGTACGACTTGAATCGTTTCTTTAAATTGTTATTTGTCCACACTCGAATGTTTGCTAAAGGGTTATTGGCAAATCACTTCCAGGATACAACAAAGTATGAAATATTCGATTAGCAAAACCGAATTGTATTCCCTTAGAAATAACTAGAAAGAAATTGTATGAATGTGATATGGAGAAAGAAGAGAGCAAAGAAATTGTGTAGACAACAAATTTCTCAAAGAATTTTCTCTTCTTCCAATGTTATCAATATATAGAGAGAATTGCACATGTTCAAGTTAATCGAAAGTACATAACTTTTGAAGTCATATTGGTTCAATATGTCATATCTGTTTGAACATATACAAAGCATTATCCAAAGGGCATTTTAATGAGTATATCTGATGAAGAGCACCAATTACCTAAAGATCATATTTGCTAGGAAAATGATTACACTTGTTGACCATGAGTCATGTCTTTTTTGGCAACAATCAAAAGATGCGGTTTTTAAATTGAAGAGATGTGATTGTTGGGAAGGAATCCAACTCTATTCTCTGCCAATACAAAACGCACGCATATGCATATACATATTTTATATATCTATATATATATATATATATATATATATATATATATTCTTGAAATATCCTACAATCAAGGTTTTAAAAATCGCTAGGCGCTAATCGGGCGGCGGGCTGGGGCCTAGCGCCTAGGCGGGGCCTAGGCGGGAGCCTAGGCGGACTAGGCGGATTTAAGTAAATCTATCATATTTCAAGTAAATAAGTGTCTGCTTCTACTTGAAATATATATAATTTCATCATAAACTACAAAACAGAATGCATATATATCATGAAGTATTGGAACATAATGAAAACATGTGAAATAAGAATATAATGTTTGTTCATTCAAGTATGCAACAAGTCTCTTACAATTTATTGGAAAAAAACAAAATACAAAATGAAAGTTATGTATTTTCTGTCTAAGTGAGTTGCAACCTAGGCGGGTCTAGGCGGGCTAGGCGGATGCCTAGGCGGGCTAGGCGGGTGCCTAGGTGGTCTAGGCGGTGGGCTGGGGCCTAGGCATTAATCGGGGCGGTGGGCTAGGGCCTAGCGCCTAGGTGGGGCCTAGCGCCTAGGTGGGGCCTAGGCGGGGATTTTTAGAACAGTGCCTACAATACACACCCTAACAATGGTCAAAAGTAGTGTGCTGGTGTATCATGTTGCCTAGCTAGCTACATATTCATATTTTGTGGTTGCGAACTGGCTTATGGGATTGAGGCAACACAAAAAATGGTGAGTTTTTCAGGCAACACTCATGTGTGCCGATCAATTAAGAGTTCAAAATCGTGAAAATATAATGTACGTACTACGTATACCAGTTCAATAAATCTTTTTTACTTTATACAAGACCAACGTGCTTTGTCTTGTTATTTGATTGACTAAAGTTGTTATCGTTTGCTAATATATATTTGTGACCTCAGCTTATCAAGAAATATGATTTAATAATAATAGTTTTGTTGTCCTTTTGGCTCTCTTAATTTGATTCTAAACATTAAAATTTGATTTCACTTTCCTGCCTGCTTCCTGCTTCTGCATGCATACAATATTGCTAAGTTTTGCATTTTGGACATATGGAATGTTTTGTAACTCAACTTTTGTCCTTGAATTACGTTGTTTTGTGGATGCACGGGATCGGTGGTTAGAGATCTCGTCTTGATCGCTGTCATGCAAATAGTACATACGTAATACAAAGATTAGGCAGAGGTAACTTTGTGTAATTTCTGGTGCCGCTCTATGCTGTGCGCAGGTGTGCGCATCGCCTGCGCGTAACGTCTTGGAGATGAAATCCCAGCCTTCCACCTCTAAGGCCTTAAAACCAACGGATGTGATGAGTGTTAAATCCCTTGTACGCAACCCATGCGCAGGGGAGAAATTCAGCCGACACTGTTTTCTCACCCTGATCGAATGGACTTATAGCAGCTTCAATATACCCACCACAGGCCTAAGTTTGTAGATAAAATCACCACTAAGAATTTGGGCCGATTCTGAAATATCGAAGCCCAAACTTAGAAGAGATTTTAAAACGGGATTTGAGATTTTTCGTCACCAGACTTGACCCAGCGAAGCTGGCAACGAATACAGTACACACCCACCCACGCCCACCTAGGAAATCCCTTAATCTTAACGCACAAAACCCTTTGGGAAATTGACATTTTGAGAAAAACATTTTGAAAAGCTTCCTGGCTCAGAAAATGATAAAACCATGCAACCCATAACCATATTTTATTGTGTTAGTGCTTTGTACAAAGGATTAATCACCGGTGTTTATATAACACATGAAAGTAACATATTCCTGCTCATCTATCTCATTTGTAGAAGAGATGTAAACGTTTCTATTCGACTTTTAATAGATTTCTCTTCCCATTGAGTAGAGAAACGTAAAGAGTGAGGTTCTCATTTTGATCCCGTTAAAATTTGAATGGTGTTGTTGTGTCCCATATATTGGTCCCATTGAGTACAGAAATGTCTACATGATTCTATCACAAGCAAATAACATGCCATGTATCTTGAGAATTATGATAGCAGAAATAAGCCTTAGAAAGTAAGCATCTAAGGTCACTTCAGTCTGTGAAGGTCAGGGCCGGCCTTACGGGTAGCCAGGTAAGGCAATCGCCTAATTCCCCCAACTTCTAGGGGCCCCCAAATTTTTTATATGTATGTATTAGTATATAAATACTTTTAAAGTAAGACGGATAACACAAAAAACTTGGTGGCGTAGTGGAAAGGAAAGCATTTATTTGGTTACCATCTCCTGTTCAAAACATGATGAAGACTCCCCAAACAAGTATTGTTTTTCCAAATATAATTAGAAAGCCTAATCTAATAACAATTTAGATTATGTAAACTCAATTAGTACATATGCATCTAAAAATGCGAGACGGATTCTCTAATATTTATATATCTTTCTTGTTTTAGTATTAATTTTTAATAGTATTTGATGTAGAAATACATTTTTTTTTCATGTATTAGCGAATTATTTATTCTACATATCAATGTACAAAGAGTCGGGGGTTCGATAATTCTAGAGCCCCACTTTTAAAGCTCGCCTAGAGCCTTCAAATTCTCAAGCTGGCCTTGGTGATGGTGCCAATTGGCCTTTCCTATAGCTTGAATGGAAACTGAAGTTACAACCATACACTTGTTTTGTACCTCCTGTCATTCTCATATTGGAGTGACTCCCAAATGGTTTCGTAGCATACAAAAGGAAACTGGACTTTTTCACTTCGATTTCTTAAAACTCATTTAGCTATGATCTAACCGATGATGTTATTCAAATCACATCATCGACCTTGTTTCCATCTGATGTCCTATCCTACATATATTGATTATAAATTTAAAAAGAGAGGGGGAGAGTCCAAGAGAGAGAGAGAGAGGGACAATAGGAAAAATGGGGAAGGGTCCCTTCCCTTCTCTTTCAAGCGCATTACTATTGAGTACGATGCAAGATTTCTAAGAACTTCACCAACTTTGTAAGACTAATGAGAGAAGATTTCATAGTTCAATTCTAATGGTACAAAACTGTTCTCTACGCCCAGAGAGAATTCCAAAAACATATAATAGAGAACTGAGAAGCAGAAAATACCTGTTTCACGTTACATTTTCAGTGTGATGAGCTTTGTCAGTAAACTAAACAGCCCAACATCTAAAGCAGTAACTAACTCAGATGAACTTCTAGACTCTAACCATGACTTGACTGCAACTTTTGTTGTAAAAAACCAGCCAGCCTTGTCTAAGGCCTCATGGAATGGATCATTCAATTCCTTCAAATGCGACTAAAATACACCCGCCAGACCTTTGTCTGAATACTTATATTTCCCATATCCAGTATTAATTCCAAGCAACGGCAGAAGCTCCTCACCGGATTCCAATACCCGAGATAGGTCATTAATCCAAACATGTAATGCAGTCAGAGCTGCCCCAAGAGAGAGGCCATTGAGATACAAAGACCACTGGGTCTGCGACCTTGACTGTAAGCCTATATATATCTGAAGTGTGATCCCCAAGTCTAGTAGCTCACAGGCTCTCTCCAAGAGATTGAGGTTCACACAAAGATCAATCAGGCAATTGGAGTAAGCCTTCTTTACATCCGAACCAATCGAGTTAAAAAGTTGTGAATCTTCGTTGTTGAACTTTTCACTACTTTCTTGCTTCTCCACTAAAAGTTTTAACACATACCCTAGTTTTTCATCAGCCCTCTCAATGCAATTCACAAGCTTGCAAAGTTCTTCCTTTGGTGTTTAAGTCATCACATTCAGGAGACAACCACAGAAACGCTCATCTGGTGTTATACCCAATTCTAGGAGTTGATTGAATATCTTGACAACGTCATCAGTACGTTTTGCTTTACCCTAGCATTGGATGAGTGATGTCAAAATAAAGATATTTGGCTCAAAACCAACTTCCAACATCTCATTCAATGTTGCTTCTGCCTCTATGACTTTCCACACTACAAGAATACATGGTAATCATGGACGAAAAGGTCCAACTGTCAGGCTTCAGTGTTTCAATACTCTTCATTTCTTAAAAAATCTCAATGGCTTCGTCGGTGTAAACAACATCAGCACACATAGCTAAAAGGGTGTTATAGAGAATTACATTTAACTCCAATCCCTTTTCCTTCATCTCTTTATAAACATTAAGAGCATCATCACAGTAACGAGCTATACCATAGGCCCTTAAAAGAGTTGCATAGGTTACCCAATTTGGTGAAAGCTCCTTGCTTATCATCTGTCGGTAAATTTTCTTGGCCTGCCAAGGTCTCCTAGCTCTTCCCATAGCATCCAACAAAGTGTTATAAATAACCAAGTTTGGCTTAGCCCCTATAGCTTTCAGTTCCTCATAAACATTCAAGCACCCATCAAAATTCCCCGATTGCCCGTGAATTTTGATGAACGTAGAAAACGTCACTGGATCAATGCGCCGCTTCTCAGTCCTGGCCCGGTCATACAAACTGAAAGCCATTTCTACCTTACCCACACGTCCATAGGCGTCAATCATAGCCGAATAGGTAACATCATCCGGATTACACCCAAAACCGGGAATCTTCTCAAACCACTCCACAGCCTTATCAAGCAAAGAACACATCAAAGAGCAACTAATCATAGTCGAAAAGGTAACATTATCGGGGTTAACACCTCTCTGAAGTATTTCGTCGAACAGCTTCTCTGCTCTCTCCATATCCTTACCCTTCCTACACACTTTCAAAGTCACATTATCCAAAATCACCTCCCGCTTCGGTTTCAACCTCTGCTGAAAGTAGTTAAGCGCAAGCAAAGCATTTTCCGGATTGTTCATGCTATTCAGAACCACCACAGCGTTTGGTTCCAAAATATAATCCCCTAGACCTTTTAAAGCTTCGAAAACATCACTTTCAATCGGAGTGCAAGAGTTCAAATACTCAGCTACTTTCACCAAAGAAGCTTACCTGGAATCGTAGGACTTGTGCCGCAGCTGTGAAGTTCTGGGGCTGCTGGGATTGACCCAGATATAGCTTTTCGAGAAAGACCCGGAATTTCCATCTGGCCTCTGAATATTTCCAATTTCTGGAGCTTTGGAGTTCTGGGCTTCTTCTGCAACTGGGTCTTGCAAAGAAACATGGTGTATTTGCAGAGAGGTTCTTGACTGAAATTGCAGTGAAGGAAAACTGAGTCTGTGGGTGTTAATTGCAAGGCTTAGGAGTCGGAAATTAGTCGGGGAAGAAGAAGAAGGGAGAGAGCGGGGGGAGTTTGGGGGTTGCGGAAGAGAAAGGAGGGTGAGGAGCACAAGTGATAAGCCATTTTCCTCACCCTGTGGGGGATTATGAAAGGTGCATTTCTTTTGCTTTGCATTCACAGGACAAATATCTTTTTGAACTTGTGTCGGGCCTGGAAGTGATTTTACGGCTTCGGAAGATGTTCGAAGCCCAACTTGAATTTCCAAGAGCTTTATGATCAGATAAAAAGTTTATTAAAATAGGCATTGTTTTGTATAAGCATTAAGGAAAATGTTATGATTAAGCTTTTTCATAGCAGTTTTATCATCGTTTTGTAGGTCCAGATGTTCAAAAGCTTACGTGTAGGAAAGATGAGTTTAATATAAAGAAATCACAAACCATAACAAAATTGTGAGTGTTAGCTCATAAATTTTGTAGAAAATGCAACAATTGATGTCATTTAAGGTGTTCAGAAGCATTCTTATCGTAATAGAAAATTAAGAATAAAATCACCTCCACATCCAAATCTCCTTAATGTCCCATAAGAATTTTAAGATTCTTACGGTTAAAATTTGACACAAATATAGGTTATATATATATATATATATATTTTAGGTTATATATAGTTCTTGGCAAAAAATCTATAAATCAATAAAACACCGTAAATATTAGCTCACGAGAAAATATTAAATTAACTATTGAGCATAAGAATATGTTGCAGAGGTAGAAAAATGTTACGAGCCGTTAGGAAATGGTGGGTTTTTGTAGGGTATCAGCCGGAATACAAACATGGTGTTGGATTAGTAGACACGTGGGGTTTTGGCTTTTGCTTATTTTTGTATAAACATATCAATTAATTCTCGAACAAACAAAAGGAGAATGGAATGAAAAGCAGGCATAGGAGTAGTTCTTGTTTCTGGGAACACATTATTATACACGTATCTAGGTTGCTGCTGCCGCTCTCTCTCTCTCTCTCTCTCTCTCTCTCTCTCTCTCTCTCTCTCTCTCGTCGACATTTGGAGGGGCCGAGGGATCAAGGATTTGTTTAATTTAGAGTAATGTTAAGAAAACAAAATTTATAAATAAAATTTACAAATTAAATGATGTGTCGCTAATAAGAAATTAACACATTTATAAACGTTTAAGTAATAATCAAATCATCAACTTTCATGTCATTTAGTTAATAAAATTTAGTCTACAAATTTAGTCTTCTTAATATTACTCTTTAGTTTATGGTAGAATCTAACTATGTGGGGCTGAAAATGATATAGTTGAGCATTGTTAGACGAGAAATGGTAGCTAAATTTCATTCTTTAGTTTACTCATATGAGCCCTGGGAGGCCAAGGAACACATTATCTTGATCAAATAGTGTAACTCATATAAGCTTCAGAAGATAAGAGATTGCTTCGGGATGGGTTTTTGTTTTTGTAAAGAAAGAAAAAAATATAGTTTAGATTAGAACATGCTGGTAGGAGAGAAAAATGGTTAGCTTTTGGAAATATAGGTAAATATAGAAAAATAATAATGAGTTTTTTTAAAAGAAATCAAAATTTTGTTTGTGTTAATAGAGTTCATGTTACATTTAATAAATGAGAAAGATACGTAGCTAGATTCTTCTGTTCACACCTCCTCAATTCCACTCTTGACCAATAAGAACGCACGCGCACGCACTGTGCAGGACAAAGAAGGGAATGTGGAATGGAAACTTTTATTGCATTGAAAATTGTAGCAGCCACCAACTTCATCTTCATCTTCATCTTCATGATGAGATGTATCTCTCTCTCTATAGTCTATACTAATGATATAAGAACAGATTAACGTGATTGTGACTTGACAACCACCAAGATCAACGACCAACTTTATTATTCACTTAACAATATATGACCCTCCTATAATATTAATATCGAACACTGCTAAAATATTATCCCGAGATTGAAGAAGTTATCACGGTCCAACAAGATGATCGATGATTTACATGACTGTGCAAGCTGAGGGATTTTCTTCACTGAAACAGTCAGGGCGGGTAACGCAATACCCCCTGTTGCCACCACCGTAACTGTCATACACAGGCCTCCCATAGTAACCATCATACTGGATGTACGAGGCTAGCCCCCCGCTATAACCACTGTGGCACGGCCCAGCTGCATGCCCCTGGTAACAATCCATACAACACGCTTGGACATGCGATGAGGGTCCAGGATTTAGCAGGCCAACTTTAGGTTTACCGTCATCTTTAGGCGTACTGTCATCTTTAGGCTTACCGTCACCTTTAGGCTTGCCGTCATCTTTAGGCTTACCTTCATCTTTAGGCTTACTGTCAGCTTTAGGCTTGCCTTCATCTTTAGGCTTACCGTCAGCTTTAGGCTTGCCATCATCTTTGGGTGCTTTGGGCTTGCCGTCATCTTTGGGTGCCTTGGGCTTCTCGGGCTCTTTGATCTCAATGCTTTTGATGGCACTCCCACCTTTGCAGCAAATCTTGTCCCTCATCTTTTCTGGACTGCAGCATACCACTTTGATAACCACTTGGTTTTGCTTCTCGTCGTATATCTGGTCTCGTATTTCTCTTGTTCACAAACACACATTAATTTACTCAGTTTACATTTAATCTAAATTAATCTTATTTTCCCAAAAAGAAAGAACTTTAACTTTGGTATTTCATCAAATAACCATATAGATGAATCAAGGAGAAAAGAGACTCACGTGGGAATTTACAAAGAACTTTTTTAACCTTCTTGTAGCATTTGTGACACTGAAGATCTACCTTCAGCACCATAATCGTAACCTGAATTATCCATTTTTAATATTAATAGAAAAAATATGTGCATTAACCAAAGATTGACAAGAATGAATCTTCAGAAAATATATAAATATACAGAAGATTGTTGTGCAAAAGTGTAGACAAAAAGAAGTGGAACAGTGCTGCTGGACAATCAGGGTTCTAACTGACTGACAGGGAAGAATCATGGTGAAAGTATGTGGCCAAATCTGTAACACAGAGAGAGAGAGAGAGAGAGAGAGAGAGAGAGAGAGAGAGAGAGAGAGGCAAAAAGCAACAAAATAGCACAGAGGAAGGGACTTGGAGACTTATTAGGATATAAAAAAAAAAGAACAGGAACCACAAAACTTAAACAAGAGCTTAAAGCCTTTTAGTTTTAGCCATACAATCATCATTTGGGTTATCTACTTATCCTTGGAAGAAGAAAATGAAGAGAACACAAACTATACCAAATATTACGTACCTTTTCCTTTTCCCCCATTGCAGTGAGTAGTGGATGCTCTCAGGCTCAGATCTGGACGAGAACTTCTCAACTAAAATGATTGAATGGGACAAAAACTTTAACGAAATCAACTTTTATAATTATATATGCATATTTATACAAAAATATATAAAAATAGGAATACAATTCGGTGGAACAAAACAGAGAGAGAGAGAGAGAGAGAGAGAGAGAGAGAAGGAGAGAGCAATATTTGATTAAAGTGGCTTATTAAAAAAAAATATGACAAATTGCTTGTTAAGAAAGAGTGAAAAAGAAAGAGGGAGAGAGCGCACAATAGTTCGTACATAGGGCGAATGGGCTGCGAACACGTTGATATCGGTAGGTTGATCCCACGCTATGGTGGACAAAAGTTTCATTGTAACTGTAATACGGATAATACAACATGTGTCAGTGATGGAAAATTTTAATTTTTAAGTTATTAATTTTTTAACACAAGTAGCTCATTATTTTTATAATAACATGTGATGTAACATTCTATATTTTGGACACACTAAAAGTTATGTCATTATAATAATTGAGAGTTGTCGTTATAGAGGCAGATTGTCTACCCTCCTGTTTGGGTGCCCATCTCATCCTCACATATTTTGTGCGGTCATGGTTAAACCACGTTTACATTTTATATGCTCATTATTTTTTGTCTTATTATCTTTATAAAAAAAATTAATATAAAATATTGACGTGCCTTAACTGTAACCGTACAGATAGAAGATGATGAAAAAAACACCTAAACAGGAGGCAGACAATACGCCTCCTCGTTATACGAAGATAGGTGACTTCCTGATGATCGCTAAAAGTTGAAATTTCTTGCACATGCATGTGCTGGCTTTGATTCACCCACCTCACCTTCCATACTTTCCAACTTCCTGCTAATATTATTATAAGTAAATGATTAATTATCAAAATAAAATTACATCCTAAGTTAATTATAATTATTAAAGTTCACATAGAGTTTGGTGGAGAGGAGAGATGCCAATATTATTTCAAGATCGTCAAATTAATGGAGAAAAAACTATATTGTAGGGTCGATAGTTTGGTCAAGTGCAATTATGGATCATGCACCCCCACATGGCACATGGAAATTCCTCCAGTTGTCCCTACATCTTAAGTAACAACAGGTGCCACCCATCTTTGACTAGCTACTTGAAGTTTGGTTTGTTAATCCAAACCGGTGAAGAAACGTCTGGTAATTAGGTTGGAGTAGGATTCTTTATCCTTTTATTTCCATTCTTTTTTCTTCCCTTCTCTTACATGTTACTTTTTGTCTTATTGTTTTTATAAAAAAAATCAATATAAAATGTTGACGTAACTAAACCATAATCATTCAAATAAAAGAAGAGGGAAAAAAAGAGAGATTAAGAGGAAAGCGAATCCTCTTCCAATTAGGATAACGATTTTCATTCAATTGATATGGCATCATTTTAGAACCACACGTACATACATGCTGCATCATAAACCCTATTACCTGCAATGTACCGGACAGAGAATGGATGATCAAAATCCAAAAAGCGTGGGCTCCAGATGACAAGAGCGTGGCTGAGGTTCAAATGTCCCAATTTCATAGAGGTGGGTTGCTCACACAATAGTGGTTGATCAATCCGATTTGATCTTTTCTTCTTGTACGTAAGTGCATCACAGCTCATTCATTTGTACGTAAGACTTGATATGTTTCGTTTTGATACAACCGACAAGAAAATGAGGATGAGATTAGTGGACATTAGGTGCAACGATATTTAAATTAATTAGTCGTTCACTTAATTATCTTTGTTTCAAGACTAGAAGTAGTACACTACACACCCTAACAATGGTCAAAAGTGGGGAGTATGATTCTCTACCCTTCCATGTCCTTCTATTTGAACGGTCACGGTTAAGTCATGTCCTCCTATTTGAATGGTTAAATATGATTTAATAATAATAGTTTTGTTGTCCTTTGGCTCTCTTGATTTGATTCTATACATTAAAAATTGATTTCACTTTCCTGCCTGCTTCCTGCTTCTGCATACATACAATATGGCTAAGCTTTGCATTTTGGACATATCGAATGTTTTTTAACTCAACTTTTGTCTTTGAATTACGTTGTTTTGTGGATGCACGGGATCGGTGGTTAGATATCTCGTCTTGAACGCTGTCGTGCAAATAGTACATACGTAATACAAAGATTAGGCAGAGGTAACTTTGCGTAATTTCTGGTGCCGCTCTATGCTGTGCGCAGGTGTGCGCATCGCCTGCGCATAACGTCTTGGAGATGAAATCCCAGCCTTCGACCTCTAAGGCCTTAAAACCAACGGATGTGATGAGTGTTAAATCCCTTGTACGCAACCCCATGCGCAGGGGAGAAATTCTGCCGACACTGTTTTCTCACCCTGAACGAATGGACTTATAGCAGCTTCAATATACCCACCACAGGCCTAAGTTTGTAGATAAAAATCACAACGATGAATTTGGGCCGATTCTGAAATATCGAAGCCCAAACCTAGAAGAGATTTTAAAATGGATTTTAGATTTTTCGTCACCAGACTCGACCCAGCAAAGTTGGCAACTAATACAGTACACACCCACCCACCCACGCCCACCTAGGGAATCCCTTGATCTTAACGCACAAAACCCTTTGGGAAATTGACATTTTGAGAAAAACTTTTTTATAAGCTTCCTGGCTCAGAAAATGATAAAACCATGCAACCAATAACCATATTTTCTTGTCTTAGTGCACTGTACAAGGGATTAATCGGCGGTGTCTATACATAACACATGAAAGTTAACATTATTCCTGCTCATCTATCTCATTTGTAGAAGAGATGTAAACGTTTATATTTAACTTTTAATAGATTTCTCTTCCCATCTAGTAGAGAAACATAAAGAGTGAGGTTTTTACATTTTGATCCCGTTAAAATCTGAATGGTATTTTTCTGTCCCATATATTGGTCCCATTGAGTAGAGAAATGTCTACATGATTCTATCACAAGCAAATAACATGTCTTGTATCTCGAGAATTATAATAGCGGAAATAAGCCTAAAAAGTAAGCATCTAAGGTCACTTTAGTCTATGATGGTCAGGGGCGGCCCTGAGGGTAGCCTGGTAAGGCAACTGCCTAAGGCCCTCAACTTCTGGGGGCCCCCATTTTTTTTTTATATGTATATATAGTGTATAAATACTTTTAAAGTAAGAAGGATAACACAAAAAACTTGGTGGCGTAGTGGAAAAGAAGGCATTTATTTGGTTACCATCTCTTGTTTGAAACATGATGAAGACTCCCCAAACAAGTATTGTTTTTCCAAATATAATTAGAAAGCCTAATCTAATAACAATTTGGATTATGTAAACTCAATTGGTACAGTTGCATCTAAAAATGCGACACATGTATTATCTAATGTTTATATATCTTTCTTGTTATAGTATTAATTTTTAATGGTATTTGATGTAGAAATACATTTTTTTAATGTATTAACAAATTATTTTTTCTACATATCAATGTACAAAGAGTTGGGGATTCAATGATTCTAGAATCCCACTTTTAAAGCTCGCCTAGAGCCTTCAAATTCACAAGGTCGGCCCTGGTGACGGTTTTTGTACCTCCTGTCATTCTCATGTTGGAGTGACTCCCAAATGGTTTTGATCATAAGGAATTTTCAAAACTTTCGTAGCATACAAAAGGAAACTGGACTTTTTCACTTCTTCGATTTCTTAAACCTCATTCAGCTATGATCTAACCGATGATGTTATTCAAATCACATCACACATATAGGCGCATTACTACTGAGTACGAGGATGGATTTCTAAGAACTTCACTAACTTTGTAAGACTAATGAAAGAAGATTTCATAGTTGAATTCTAATGGTACAAAACGGTTCTCTACGCCCAAAGAGAATTCCAAAAACATATAAATAGAGAACTGAGAAGCAGCAAATACCAGTTTCACATTGCAGTTTTAGTGTGATGAGTTTTCCAGTAAACTAAACAGCCCAACATCTAAGCAGTAACTAACTCAGATGAACTTCTAGACTCTAACCATAACTTGACTGCAACTTCTATTGTAAAAAACCAGCTAGCCTTGTCTAAGGCCTCATGGAATAGAGCATTCAATTCCTTCAAATGCGACTCAAATGCACTCACCACACCTTTGTCTGGAACTTATGTTTCCCATGTCCATTATTAATTCCAAACAACGGCGAAAGCTCCTCACCGGATTCCAATACCCAAGATAGGTCATTGATCCAAACAAGTAATGCAGTCAGAGCTGCCCCAAGAGAGAGGCCCTTAAGATACAAAAATCACTGGGTCTGAGACCTTGACTGTAAGCCTATGTATATCTGAAGTGTGATCCCCAAGTCTAGTAGCTCACAGGCTCTCTCCAAGAGATTGAGGTTCACACAAAGATCAATCAGGCAATTGTAGTAAGCCTTCTTTACATCTGAACCAATCGAGTTAAAAAGTTGTGATGCTTCGTTCTTTAAGTTTTCACTACTTTCTTGCTTTTCCACCAAAAGTTACCACATCCCCTAGTTTTTCATCAGCAATCTCAATGCAATTCACAAGCTTGCAATGTTCGTCCTTTGGTGTTTGAGTCATCACATTCAGGAGCTTGCAAAGTTCTTGCAAAGTTCTTCCTTTGGTGTTTGGGTCATCACATTCAAGAGATAACCACAGAAACGCTCATCGGGTGTTATTCCCAATTCTAGGAGTTGATTGAATATTTTGACAACGTCATCAATGCGTTTTGCCTTACCGTAGCATTGGATGAGTGATGTCAAAATAAAGATATTCGGCTCGAAACCAGCTTCCAACATCTCATTCAATGTTGCTTCTGCCTCTATGACTTTCCCGCTACAAGAATATATGGTAATCATGAACGAAAAGGTCCAACTGTCAGGCTTCAATGTTTCAGAACTCTTCATTTCTTCAAAAATCTCAACGGCTTCGTCGGTGTAACCAACATCAGCACACATAGGTAAATGGGTGTTATGGAGAATTACATTTAACTCCAGTCCCTTTTCCTAAAGAGCATCATCACAGTAACGAGCTCTACCATAGGCCCTTAAAAGAGTTGCATAGGTTACCCAATTTGGTGAAAGCTCATTGCTGATCATCTCTCGGTAAATTTTCTTGGCCTGCCAAGGCCTCCTAGCTCTTCCCATAGCATCCAACAAAGTGTTATAAATAACCAAGTTTGGCTTAGCCCCTATAGCTTTCATTTCTTCATAAACATTCAAGCACCCATCAAAATACCCTGATTGCCCGTGAATTTTGATCAATGTAGAAAATGTCACTGGATCAATGCGCCACTTCTCGGTCCTAGCTCGGTCATACAAACATGGTGTTGGATTAGACAAGTGGGGTTTTAGCTTTTGCTTATTTGTGTATAAACATATCAATCAATTCTCGAACAAACAAAACGAGGAATGAAAAGCAGGCCTAGGAGTAGTTCTATTTTCTGGGAACACATTATTACACACGTATCTAGGTTGCTGCTGCTGCTTTTTCTCTCTTGTCGACATTTGCAGGCGAAGAGGGATCAAGGATTTGTTTACTTTAGAGTAATGTTAGGAAACTAAATTTGTAAATAAATTTGCAAATTAAATGATATGTCATTAACACTTAAGTAATAATCAGATCATCAACCTTCATGTCATTTAGTTTACAAAATTTTGTTTACAAATTTAATCTCCCTAGCTACTCTTTAGTTTATGGTAGAATCTAACAATGTGGGGATTGAAAATAATGATATAGTTGAGCATTGTTAGACGAGGAATGGTAGCTAAATTTCATTCTTTAGTTTACTCATATGAGCCCTGGGAGGCCAAGGGTTTGCTTATGGGTTAGGAATTTACGTGGATTGAAACACACTACCTGATCAATTAGTGTAACTCATATAAATTCTGGGAAACCAAGAGATTGCTTCTGGGTGGGTTTTTGTTTTTGGTAATGAAAGAAGAAAAAAAATAGTTTAGATTAGCACACGCTATGGTAGGAGAGAAAAAAGGTTAACTTTTGGAAATAAAGGTAAATATAGAAAAATAATAATGAGTTTTTTAAAAGATATAAAAATTTTGTTTGTGTTAATAGAATTCATGTTACGCTTAATAAATGAGAAAGATAAGTGTAAAATGCAAATGAGGAAGGTAGCTAGATTCTTCTGTTCACACCTCCTCAATTACACTCTTGACTAATTGTTTATTAGTAGTTGATGAAAATCAACTTGCGAAATAGGAAATAACTAATAATGCACGTGCAGTGTGCAGGACAAAGAAGGGAACGTGGAGTGGAAACTTATATTGCATTGAAAATTGTAGCAGGCACCAACTTCATCTTCATCTTCATGATGGGATGTATTTCTTTCTCTCTATGGTCTATATTAATGATTTAAAGAACAGAATAACATGATTGGGACTTGACAATGTTCATGTGACTTGACAACCACGAACTTTATTATTCACTTAACAGTATACATGGCCATTGGAACTGAACCGTTAACACGACCTGTTAATATTAGTATTTGGATGAATATTTAACGGGTCGGATCGTTAACAGGTTGCTAATGTGAACCCGTTAACAACTCACATTAGTAACCCGTTAAATAACGGGTCACTTTGGATCAACCCGTGAACACCCATTAGTTAAGGATGTTTTAGTAATTTCAGTAAAGTCTTAACAACAAAATATAAACTCTATGAAAAAAAAAAATAATAATAATAGTTGTTAACGGATGAAACGGGTGACCTGTTAGCTTAACGGGTTGGGTTCGGATGATCCATTAACTTAACGGGTCAGGTTTAACCCGACCCAAATCCAATAAACCCAACCCGTTTACAGGTATACTCTTAGGTGTGGTTTGGGGTTGAGATTATTTAAAAAAGAAAGTTGAGATAAAAAAAAAGCTAGAGTAAAATTTGTGTTTGGTAACTCACAGCGCGTTTACTAATCCGTAATCAAATTGAGGGGAATTGAATTGATGGGGAATTGGATTGAGGAGGAATGGAAATGAGGTGGAATCAGAATCAGATTCATGTTGTAGTTGTTTACTAAAACTGTCTGGAATCGGAGTAGAAATGACATTAAACTATATAAAGTGTTTACTGATTCACATGAATCGGAATGAAAACTAATGCGATTACTAAAATGCCCCTATTTTAACCAATTTATTTTATATGTTAATTATTTTAAATAAAATTTTTATCGTTTTATTTTTATTTTGATTACTATACAGAATTTACAAATATGTATTCTTGCTGGTAGAGAAGCTCTAGACATATGTAGAAGAGTCTTTAATCACATAGAATTGTCCAAATTTGATCATTTTTTATTTGCTTCATCCTAAACCGTATTAGATCAAATTTACTTCCTTTTCTCTCTCTCCCTGTTTCCCCCATTTTTCTCTGCAGCTGCTTGACCAGATCTCGTTGCGGCATCGTTCCACATCGCGTTCGTCGTTGCGGCACCGTTCCAATCGCGTTTGTCGTTGTTCCATATTCTTCTCTGCATACACAGAAGAGAGAGAGGAGAGAGAGAGAGAACACGACGGCTCTGCATTTTCTGGCGTCACTGTAGCTACGTGGGCATTCTTCCCCTTCCAGTAAGTTGCTTCAGGTTCACTGCTTTTTCTTCTTCATCATCGTCGTCGTCTTCTTCTTCTTCTTCTTTTGTTGGGTGCTGTGGACGCAGGGGGCTTGGTTTTCTGGAAACAGCACGAAGCTTTGATCGTATACATGGGTATTTTGGGTACAAAATTTTGATTCCTGATGGAGTGTTCTACCCGGAACTCAAATACTACCTCTATAGAGGTAATCCAATTCCGGGCAATTCTGGAGTTGAATTCCTGATATTGGGTGGTCCCCACATAAATTTTGATTCCCTAATTGCGAGTATACGTCAGAATGCATTGGGGAATATCCAATTTCGTTTCTCTCGATTCCAATCCCGATAGGTAAACACGCCCTCAGCTTATTTTCAAAGTCACTGTCATTTTAAGCTGAAAAGTGGAAAAAAGCTGAAGCAGCAAAATGCAGCTTCTCAAAACCAGCTTTTTTTTTTTCAAGAGGCAGGTGAACAGTAGAATTTAATGAAACTTTCACAATCTCAGAAATACCCTCCTCAATTTCTCCTTCTTGCTGCATTGAGCTCTTCATGAGTCTCTGTCTCTGTCTCTTCTTTCTCTTTCTAGAACCAGAAGCTCTAAGTCCTTAAGGTTCATTTTGGTTTCGGATCGGGTCCTGCATTTGTATAAATCGGAGCTGTTTGATCGGCGCTAGAACGGATTCGGATTTCAACAATCGAATTCGCTTTTTGTCTAATTGGATGGTCTGATTGGGGTTGAAGATGAATCCGCTCTGCTGCATTGCATCGGTTTCGATGGATCGCGACCGGGGCACCCCGGTGGCGGTGAAAATGAAGAATTTTGATCTGGGTTTTTTCACAAAAAAAAAAGAAGGTGATTTGAGCTTTTCAAAGAGAGGATTTGGATGGAGTGCTTGCAGTTGTATCATTGAAGAAGAAGACCAGAGGATAATATAATGGAATAAAAAATGGCAAAAGTGGATTAAAATATCGTAAGAATAATGAGTAGATAATGCTGGAATGAAATATAAAAAAATGGCAATAGTGGATTAAAAATTGTAAAGAAAATTAACCTATATTTGTTAAGAAAATTAAATTAATAGCACATATAGTATTATATTTGTTAAGAAAATTAAATTAATAGCACATATAGTATTATACCTTTTTTGGTCATTTTACACAGTCACAATTGTTTTACATAAAAGTTTACCAAACACTATCATACTGCTTTTTTTTTTCAAAAACACTTTTACACAAAAGTTTACCAAACATTCTGCTGTTTTATTTCACAGCCGCTTATTCTTACAGCACAGCAGAAACAGTTTTTTTTCAAAGTATAACAATACCAAATCAACCCTTATAATAATAGGAAGTTTTAACGAAAACTACCTTTATTTATCATTTTACATTAAACCTAAGTATTTTTTTTGGATTTTTTGTCCGTTTTCCTATAATATTAATATCAACCGACAAACACTGCTAAAATATTATCCCTAGATTGAAAAAGGTGTCACGGTCCAACAAGATGATCGATGATTTACATGACTGGGCAAGCTGAGGGATTTTCTTCACTGAAATAGTCAGGGTGAGTAACACAATACCCCATGTTGTCACCGCCGTAACTGTTATACACAGGCCTCCTATAGTAACCATCATATTGGATGTACGGGGCTGGCCGCCCGCCATAACCACTGTAGCAGGGCCGCTCGCCACAACCATTGTAGCATGGCCGCCCGCCACAACCACTGTAGCATGGCCGCCGCCACAACCACTGTAGCACGGGCCATCTGCATGCCCCTGGTAACAATCCATACAACATGTGCGGACAGGCATTGGGTACCCTAGCACAGCAAGATCTTTAGGCTTGCAATCATCTTTTTTTTTACCGCCATAACCACTGCAGCACGGCCCACCTACATGCCCCTGGCAACAATCCATACAACACACTGTGACAGGTGGTGGGCACTTTGGCACAACAGGATCATTAGGCTTGCAGTCATCTTTTTTATTGCCGCCATAACCACTGCAGCACGGGCCACCTGCATGCCCCTGGCAACAATCCATACAACATGTTCGTACAGGCGGTGGGCACTCTGGCACAACAGGATCTTTCTTACCGTCACATTTAGGTTTGTTGTCACATTTAGGTTTGTCATCACATTTAGGCTTACAGTCACATTTAGGCTTGCCGCCACATTCATGCTTGTTGTCACCTTTAGTCTCGGGCTTGCTGTCACCTTTAGTCTCGGGCTTGTTGTCATCTTTGGGCTTCTCGGGCTCCTTGATCTTGATGCTTTTGATGGCACTCCCACCTTTGCAGCAAATCTTGTCCCTTATCTTTTCTGGATTGCAGCATACCACTTTGATCACCACTTGGTTTTGCTTCTCGTTGTATTTCTGGTCTCGTATTTCTCCTGTTCACAAACACACATTAATTTACTAAGTTTACATTTAATCTAAATTAATCTTATTTTCCCCAAAAGAAAGAACTTTAACTTTGATTTTTCATCAAATAACTATAGACGAATCTAGGAGAAGAGAGACTCACGAGGGAATTTACAAAGAACTTTTTTGACCTTCTTGTAGCATTTGTGACACTGAAGATCCACCTTCAGCACCATAGTCGTAACCTGGATTACCCATTTTTAATATTAATAGAAAAAATATGTACATTGACCAAAGATTGACAAGAATGAATCTTTATAAAATATATAAATAATACAGAAGATTGTTGTGCAAAAGTGTAGACAAAAAGAAGTGGAACAGTGCTAATCATGGTGAAGGTATGTGGCAAAATCAGTACCAGAGAAAGAAAGGGGCAACAAACAACAAAATAGAATAGAGGAGGGGACTTGGATTCTCATTAGGATATAAATAAAAGATTAGGAACCACAAAACTTAAACAAGAGCTTAAAGCCTTCTAGTTTTAGCCGTACCAATCATCATTTGGGTTATCTGCTTATCCTTGGAAGAAAAAAATGAAGAGAACACAAACTAAACCAATTATTACGTACCTTTTCCTTTTGCCCCATTGCAGTGAATAGTGGATGCTCTCAGGCTCAGATCTGAACGAGAACTTCTGAACTAAAATGATTGAATGGGACGACTGCTCTCACGAAACCAACTTTTATAATAAAGAAATTGTAACGAAACACTCATGTTACTGTTCATTTTTAACGAAAAATCACATTTTTATTTTTTTTTTTGTACCATTTACTACACCTTTATTTGTCATTTTTCATTAAAGTTAAAAAAAATTTGAACTTTTCGTTAGTTTTTTTTTTTATAATTATATATACATATTTATACCAAAATATATAAAAATAGGAATACAATTCGGTGGAACAAAGCAAAAGAGAAAGAGAGAAGAGAGCAATATCTATCTATCTTTATATAAAGCCAACACAAAAAGTGAATAATGTTTTTGGTGTCACCAAGCTTCATCAAAAATATTTGGACAAAAATACCTTCAAGACAAAAAAAAACTTCAAAGATATCCCAAAATAATGCAGGGGTTTTGTCATTTTAACAATGTTTTTTTAATAATTAATTTTTTTGTACTTTTTTTAATTAGTACCTCACAATAGGCTAACAATAATGTGATTCAATCAGCTGTTCATTCAATATTATTTTCTGTATTTTTAAACACGTTCAAAACATCTTAAGAGACGTGTAATGCCGATTATAAAAAAGATCTTTCGTACGTAGATAATAATATGATTAAATTAGTTATCAAATTTTTTTTTTCACCACTTATAAATAATAAGGAAAACTAATGAAAATAGTTTGAAAATTTTGAGTTTTAACGATAAAGACAAAATAAAGGGTAAATGGATAGTATTAGGTTTAACTTTTTAGTGTAAAAATATAATTTTTCTTTAAAGTAAGCAATACCGCGGACTTTTCGTTTAAACTCTCCTTATAAGATGACAAATTACGTTAAAACTCCCCTTAAGGAAGAGTGAAAAAGAGACAGAGAGCGCACAATAGTTCGTACATAGGGCCAATGGGATGCGAACACGTCGATATTGGAAGGTTGATTTCATGTTATGGTGGACAAAAGTTTTTGTTGTACCCGTAATTCAAAGTACACCATGTGTAGTGTGATCGAAATACGAAGTGGTACACAACGTATCACTATAAAAATTATGAGATATATATGTTAAAAAATTAATATCTTAAAAAATACAATTTTTCACTACTTTATAGATACATGTGGTATATCATCCGTGTTCTAGTAACAAGAAAAATTTTCTTGTATAAGTGATGAGAAGTTTTATTTTGTAAGCTATTAATTTTTCAACTCAAGTAACTCATCATTTTTACAAAATATGTCACTTTATATTCTAAATACATTGAAAAATTTCTTGCTATAATAATTGAGGGTTGTCGTTACGAAGATTGTGACTTTCTGACGATCGCCAATAGTTGCAATTTCTTGCATGTGCATATGGTGGCTTTAATTCACCCACCTCACCTTCCATACTTTCCAACTTCTTGCCAATATTATTTTAAGTAAATGATTAATTATGATTCCATTATTAAAATAAAATTACATCCCAAGTTAAATATAATTGTTAAAGTTCACAGAGTTTGTTGGATAGGAGTAGGGGTGGTTCGGTATGGGATCCCATACCGAAACCCTTGTCCCGATTCCCATACCGAAATTTTCGGGAATCCCAATTTCAATACCGATCCCAAACCAAATTTTCGGGAATCCCAATTTTCGGGAATCCCGAAATAATTTCGGGATTTCGGGACAAATCGGGAATCCCGAAATAATTTTGAGCCAATTGCTTGATATTTTGAGCCAACTCATTAGTCATTGCAACAAATTTGGAATCGAAAACAACTAACATAATTCGAACCACAGATATCATGAATTCTCTATAATTGGTGCAAACTTCCCAATTATAACTATTACAAGACAAATGCATAATCTGAGTACCTTGTACACAGTTCCAAAACCGCCTCGCCCGATCTTATTACTCGGATGGAAATTATCCGTCGCGGATCTTAATTCATTGTAGGAGAAAGCCTTGATATTTTCCAGCACATTCTCTATGAAACACACATAACAATCAATCACAATAACAATGATGATCCGCATAATCCAATGAACAAAAAAACCACAGTACGGAGGTAAAAAAAATAACAAAACCAGGAAGTGGGAACATTTAACCATGTCCGTACCATCAAGATCATGGCCAAATTGACCAGAACCAGATTTCCTTTTCCTCTCAGCAACCGAAGCACCAAAGCAGCTGCAACGCATATTAACTTGTCCACAATAACAAATCCTACCTCCTGGGTTCTCTCAAATTTACAGAAAAATAGCTCCCTTTTGATCAGAGAGCCCTCCCTAATCAGATTTGGACCGACCCATGTTGCCAAAATCCTAAATTTCACAACCAAATAATCACAAAAATTTCCTCAAAACACCAAAAGTTCAAACTAATAAGATTTGAATATTCGAAAAAACCCACCTCGTGGATTTGCAGATTACCAATCAAGTTCTGATGTCCTGATTCCCTTTAGCATCTGTTTCTGTCAGCAACTATGGAGAGCGAGAGAGAACTGGAAATTCTCAGTCTGGTGAGGGATGTGAGGGCCGGAGGCTAAGGGTCAGGGGGCTGCACTTCGAAACAAATGAACGGAGGAATGAAATGTGATCTGACCTAAAAAAGAAATCAACGGCACAGATTAAATCCAAAACAATCAACGGTTGAAATAATTCTCTTATAATTAAAAAATTATATATATATATATATTTTTTTTTTTCGGTTCGGTATGGGAATACCGAAAAAATGAAATGCAATACCGAATCCCATACCGAAACTTTCGGTTTGGTTTGGGATTACACCCCGAAAATTTCGGGAATTTTGGTTTGGGATTTTTTTGGTTTGGGATCGGGATTTTTTTGGTTTGGTTTGGAATTTTTGGGATTTTTTTCCAGCCCTAGATAGGAGGGCTGCCAATATTATTTCAAGATCGTCAAAATAATTGAGAAAAAACTATAATTTAAGGTCAATAGTTTGGTCAAGTGCAATTATGGACCATAAGTAAGACGTGACACCCATCTTTGACAAACTACATGAAGTTTGGTTTGTTAATTCAAACCGATGAAGACACGTCTAGTACTTAGGATCACGACTTCGATGCAATTGATACGTCATCATTTTAGAACCAGGGGTTTCGATTTGCCGGCATTCGTACATACATGACGGATCACATATATGGCATACCGCACTTAGGGGTGATTTGGCTGAGATGCTTAAAAAAAAAGCACTCATGAAAAAAAATTGTGAGAATTTTAGGTGTTTAGTAAATTGAAAAAAAAGAGTTTATTTTGGAAGTTGCTGTGAGAATAAGTTGAAATCAAAGGAAAAAGCTGAAGCTGCTATTTGCAGTTTTGGAAAACTGATTTTTTTTTCAAAGCACACAGAACTACAGTGCTTCTTTAATGAAAAGACCCACTATCAGACTGTTTTTTTTCCGAAAGTACTTTACAAAAAAGTTTACTAAACACTCTGCTGATTTATTTCACAACCGCTTATTCTCACAACAACTTTTTTTCAAAGCACAAACAATACCAAACTAGCCCTTAGGATAAAGACTTCGATGTAATTGAATGTAATAACTTATTCCCTGCAATGTACTGGAGAGAGAATGGAATCTGGATGATCAAAATTCAAAAAGCGTGGGCTCCAGATGACAAAAGTTAGCATATTCCCGCTCAGACACTGATAAAACCATGCAACCAATAACCATATTTTATCGTCTTAGTGCACTGTACAAGGGATTAAGCAGCTGTGTCCATACATATATAACACATGAAAGTTAACATATTTCCGCTCATCTATCTTATTTGTAGAAGAGATGTAAACGTTTCTATTCGATTTTTAATAGATTTCTCTTCTTATTTAGAGAAACATAAAGAGTGAGGTTCTGTACATTTTGATCCCGTAAAAATCTAAATGTTGTTGTTGTGTCCCATATATTTGAGTAGATAAACATAAAGAGTGAGGTTCTGTACATTTTGATCCCGTTAAAATCTGAATGGTGTTGTTGTGTCCTATATATTGGTCTCATTTGAAAAGAAGAAGTTGATATTGCAATTCAATTCAGCAGCTGAAGGGAAAAAGTTTCATAGAGAGCAAAAATATCTTTCCCGACAGGAGTCCAACTCAAACCCCAAGGTTGCTAGGGGTGGCTATGTTGGGCAAACTAGGCAACTGAGTGAGCCTACCAAAGTGTATAGTCTCGCCTACTATCACAGATATCATATATGAGAAGTAGATGATGAAGTTATTTCGGGCTTCTGTGTAGTCAGGGTTTCGGCTTAATGCCCCTTTAAATTTCGTTTTATGTTGGCACATTTCATCTATCAAGTTGCAAAGGACCACTTTCCAATATATATAATGCATGTTCCACCATCAATTATTCCAGTGAGATTGTACCGGCGAAATATCGGTGCAAATAAAGCACTCTAGGTGATCCAATTTGTAGTCGTCAGTTTGATCAAGACCAGTGAGCCAATGTTATGAATTGTGATCGAAGAATTGACCGAATTAGGGCACAAACTTGGAGCTGAAGAATCTGCAAGAGATAGCTGTGATGTAGAATCAGAGAGAGGCGGATGAGAGACCGCCATTGTTGGTAGCGTAGAGAGAGCCAGTAGCGGAGCCAAGGTGGGGGCAATGGGATTCCTTGACCCCAATAACCTTGTGGCCAAACAAGAAGAAGAAGAAGGAGTTGATAAAGTTTGTTTGTGTTTGTTTGATTAGTTTCTTGGGGTTTAGAACTTGACAGAAAAATGGAACAAAGAATGCAGAGATGTTGGACGACTACAAGGCTGTGCAAATTGCATCTGCCATCACTTCATTTAATAAGGAATGTTTGTAAGGTTTGGTGCATTGCCAACTCCCAAAACATTTTTTAAGAGTCTGGGGGACAAGAGAACTTAAATAAATATTACACCCATTCTCCTCCAGATTTGATCCTAGCCCTTCATTGGGGTTTTAAGCGATCTAATCTGGAATGCACACTTGTCACTCTCACACACACATACAAAGCATTTAAACTGAAAACAAGTCGTTGGGACTAAACCCTTTTTTTCTTCTTTCTTCTTCGATGCAGCAGCAACTCATCCATTGGAGCTCCACTTGCTGTCGTCGATCCTTGGAACTAGAAGCAGTTTAAGGTCCAACAGGAGCTGCTGCTCCATTTGTTAGCCATCACTCCATCAGCACCTCTTCTCCAACCCCCTGCTAAATCTTCCCACCACCGTGAATTTAAGGCCTGGCAGCCTCCAGATCTTCAGACCCGCGTTTTCGGCATGCCCTGTCTAGTAATGGAAGTTCAACTTTTGACCCCATTGTCTTAAATTCCTGGCTCCGCCACTGGAGAGAGCACATAGAACGCAGGGAGACGAAGGATCGTCAAAGGTCGTTAGACACCAGCGATAGATACCATGTTAAAGTTCAGAGAGATCCAGTAAGAAAGATAGAGAGAAGAGAGAAATGAAATTGTAATTTCTATTGCTTGAATAATGTTACACTTTTGGTATATATACCATCATTTACATATAGGATAACTACCTAACTTATTAACTAAGTAAGGTTTAACAAACTTCTCACAACAACTCTAACAACACTTACTTAGCATCATTTACATTACTACCCTTAACACATGTGTCGTGGAATTATCACAAGCTTTTGCTTTCAGGATTCTAATTAGATATCCGAATCACCTTTTGATCCATATAAATCTCAGCGGCTTTCGCCTTCCCTTCTTTCTTCTTTCCCCTTCCTAGTTTTTGTATTTGTATGTATATATGTGTCTGCCGCGCGCACGTGTGTGTGTGTGTAGCATATAACTAAACTCATTTGGGCTATATATTCGTGTGAATCACATAATGCCATAAATAGAAAATTTTAATTGATTGGTAATTGTGTGAGTTGAGTCTTTAGTGCTACTTTGATCAGCTGGTTAGTCTAATACCTGCTTTGGTTTTGTTTTTGGTAAATAGGCAGCTGTTAGGGTTTGCAAACAAACGATTTCCCAACTGTTAATGTTGGATATATGTCAACAATCTGTGATTTAATTATATATATGCTAATAAACAATAAATGCGAATATAAAATTCATTGAACAGAGTATGAACAATGAAATAAATTTAAACAGAAAAATTGAAGATCGAGGCTTGCGTACCGCAATGTCCTTGAAACAGAAATTTTGTCCATACTCAGTGCTTGTAGTTCTACGGACGTCTGCTTCACAAAGATTCAACGATCAAGTTAGAATTCTAGCACCGGAAAACTTAACTTCCGGCGAATTTCTGTGTGGTTCTCTCAAAAAATGATGTTTGTGATTTCAGAAGAAGAATATTGATTTGTTTGTGTCCTAAATGTCATGCAGATGGATGTATATATAATAGAATGATGCTTGTTCGCAACAGGTATGAGAATGAGATGTGTCTGTTGGAAGACATCTTCTCCAGAGGGGTGCTTTGCTCTGTGTTATTTCTAAACTCTTCAGACTTTATTTGAAAGGATGAGTCAGTTGGTAAAAATTGAGTCAGTTGGTAAAATTTTTGTTTTAATTAAAAATAATTAATTAAATAATTTAATTATTAGAGCCCCAGCCCAAGGACCATCTTTTGATAATTAATTATATATTATCGTGCACACTTATATTAATTATCTATATATATATATATTAATTATAATTAATTACCAATTAATTAATTAGTGCACCCCAAAGCCTAACCCCAATGGTGAGCCCATACCCCAAAGCCCAATCCCAAGGATGAGCCAATTTTTATTCTCCAGGCCTATTACTCCAATCACTTTCTATAAATGACAAAGCCTTATAAAGTGATAAAATATTGTGGGAATGGCTAATGTGAGACAAATAAATTTCTACTCAAACTACTCAAATTTTCAACAGTTAGTTTGCATGTTTAAATGGATTATATACTGAATCACTGATACAAAAGTATTCTAACTTGTATTTATTCATTTCATTCGTATAGAATTGGTTAAATACAGTGAGTGCATGGGATTCTTTGATGATTGATTGGGTGCCAAGTGCCAATTTGGTTACATGAAGAAAGGCCTTCCCTCTCCAAATACCAATCACCTTTTCTTTCTTTCTTTTCTTCTGGTTAATTTATTACTACTTGCATATTTTTTGATCGAATGCTCCTAATTTCATGATCATTTCATGGATAAATACATGACGATAATGTTTATCATCACAATTCACAGAGGACGCGGAAAGACTTACAAAGAGTCACAGATGCTGATGGCCTTCCATGAGATGGGTCCCGCTGGATTCCACCTCCTCTTTCCAGATGGTGATGGCCTTTCCGGGTTCCCACTTCCCAGCCCGACCCTGATGTTGATCTGGGCTTTTAGTCCACATAATAATCACTTGGGTGCTTGGAATCCAAAACCCTGGGACCGCTTGGGCTCCATCTTATATTTCTGGCTAGCAATGCACACAAATATACGGAAACCTACCAAGCGAGTGAGAAAGGGAAGAGCTGTCAGCTGTGACAGCCTCATTTTCCTCCTCCACATAATCGTTTTTTCTTATTCTTTATCTTTTTCTTGTGCTGATCGATCGAGAGAACATAATGCTTTTTTCTTTTGTC